AAAAAAAAAAAAATGTGTGAGTAAAATGTTTGAAAACTAACCAAAGACCCTGACGGTAGTGGCCAGGCACCCCTCAGTGGGGGTAAGGCTGGACTGGGACCCCAGTTGGGTGAATAGAAATCTCATAGATTTTATTATGAGAGCTAATAAAAGTAAAGTATATACAACAGTGTCTAGCATTGAGCAAGCACTAAGGAAGTAGATGCTATTATTAAACCCAGTTTGGAGAAAGGATATGTGAACAGAAGAGAGATCCCAGGAAAAGGACAGTCCTAAAAGTTGCTGAGGAAAACATATTCAGGCTTTAATCTTGGAGATACTGGGCTGAACTGTCTTTAGAGTCAAGACTACCCCTATGGTAGGGAACAAGCTTTCAAGGTGACTTGTCTGATAGACTTGTCATACCATCTCTTTTCCCCCTTTTGGGGATTGGTTCCAGGTTCCCTGAACTAACCTTCTGGTAACTGGGCTTCCCAAGGAGCAGCCCAAATTGCCTTGACAAAAATTCAGTTCTGCTTGACAGTTGTATTTTTCTGTGCAAATTAATACCTGTGCTTTTGGGGTTTATACACAAGCCTTTATTGGGGTCGCCCTGCACAGGCAGAACAGATCTACTCACTGTACCAGTGAAATTGGGTTTTGGAGGCAGAGGTGTGGGAACCATGCCCCTCAAAACAGCCAAAGGTACCCATCTTTAGCAGCACAACCTCATGCCAGTAAATCTGCAACAACAGGGAAGAGAATGAAGGGGAGTTGTGCCGGAGGAAGGTGACAAGGCTCCAGGGCATAGCCAGGAAAGGAGAGGACCTTAGGCATCTCCTCCTCCAGGAAGATCCTTGCTCCACCTAGGCTGGAGTAGATGCCCTCACATGTACTTTCTATGGCACTGGTCACTCTGGGTAGAGAGCATCTGTCTGTTTATTACAACATATCTGAGCCTCTGGAAGGTAAGGATAATGTCTTACTTGGCTTCGTAGATCAGGGGCCTGGTACAGAGTAGATAGTAGATACTCAGTTAATGCTTAAGAGCATGACTGACTGAATAAGACAAGAGATAAATTAAAGAAGGTGTGGACTGTCAAGCTCCCAGGGCAGGAACCCCTACTGCCTTACTCCCCAAGTGCCTTGCAGAATCTGTGCCCAAAGTATCCCGTACATGCTACCAAAGGTCAAACCCCGGCTACCTCTTCTGGAAGCCCATCTGCTGGACCACACCTCCCTGCCGCTGCTGACTAGGACAGAACATCTTGAATCCGCTGCTGCACAAAGCAACACGGAACCGGGTCGTGCTTAGGTTTGTTCCCTGTTGCTGCAGATGTAGGAGTCCTTCCCCTTGAAGGAAGTCGCCCAGGGGAGGGGTGCTCCTGGTTTTGTCTGGCTAGAGGACTGGGACCCGCAGGGGGCAGACACCAGAGATACGCAGGATGCTTCTGTCGCCCCGAAGAACAATTCCCGCGCGCCACAACCCTGTCCTGGCCGAGGAGCAGTGGGGGTGGGGAGGCGGGTAGGAATGTGGGAAGGGGCGTCCATGGCTCTGCTCCCCTCCAGCTGGAACGGCTCTCTCGCACCCTCACCTGCGTCCTAGCTCTGGCGCCCCGCTTGCAGCCCCACACTTTGCAAAGTTTCGGAGTTTTACTCCACTTGCGTCATGGAAAAGGCAGGAGAGTGACGCAGTCCTGGAAGCGAGGCTGCGGCGGCTGGCGAGCTCCCCCGCGTGGTGCTCAAATCCCTGGGGGCGTGAGGTGTCTCCTGGTGAGGGCGGACAGGCTTAGGAGGAGAGGGGAGGTGGTAGTCCAGGGGCCGGTCCTGGAGGCTCTCACGGCCCCTAGCTCTCGGGTCGTCTCTCTCTCTCTCTCTCTTTAGACCCAGCGCGAGCAAGTGAGGGCGCCCGCCAGACGGAAAGAAGCGCAGAGGAGTAGGCGGGGGCCGGGCTCCAGCGCCCCAGGCCCACAGGAGGGCGGAGCCGGGCGGTCCTTTCCTAGCCTGGACGCACGGAAGTGCAGTGGAGTTTGCCCAATTCCCCAGCCTGCTTTTCCTCCCTCTCTCCACCCTTCACCTCCCCTTCGGCTATTCCCTCCTTCCTCGGGACGCCACCTCCCGGAATCGCCTTTTTGTTTTGGGGCTGGGCGGCGCAGAGGGGCAGCGAGTGCGGGAGAAGTCAGACTGGGGACGCAGCCCGCCGCCCAGCCCGCCGGGCCCGCGGGGCAAAGTGGAGGACCGACGGACGCCCGGCGGGGCGCGCCATCTGCTCGCTGGAGCTCACTCTTCAAACTACTGTTGAGTGTGTGCGTGCGCGCGAGGGGTGCGGGGCGGGGGTTATAAGTCTCGGGTGCGGGGTTACTGGTTTCCGACGAGCTACCTTTGGACAGGGGTCCTTGGACTCAAATCAGAATTAGGCAAACAAAAGAGACCAGTCAGCGAGTGGCCAGAAGTCGCCCAAGCGCCTCGCCGTGCCCCCTCCTCCCTCCTAGGTCGGAGCTGGCCACTTGTGGGGTGGGGAGAGGGCGACCGAGCCGGCCGGGGGCCGCGGGGGGTGGAGGGGACCGGCTGCGCAGCTAGGGTCGAAGAGTTGGCGGCCTGTTGTGTAAGCCTCAGTCCTTGTTTTCCCGGCCTGGCTCGTTGTGAAGCCGGACACATCCACCCTTGGACTCAATTCAGGAGGCTGCTGCTTTTCTCCTTGCCCCTCTTGGATTTTCTGGATTTTTGAAAACCCAATGGCCTAGGAGGAGGAGGAGGAAGGAGGAAGCGGCAGATCTGCAGAGGAATGTGAGAGCCTCCCAAAGCCAGAGCAGCCAAAAGGAGCTGGGAGCCAGAGGGACAACAGAACCCTGCTGGGTTTCTGGAATGGTGGTTTCCCAGTGATTCTCTTCTATTTTAGAACATTGTTTCAGTGGAAAGTGTCGAATTCTTGCCCTTGCAGAGCTGGTTTCTCCAGGTCACTTGACTGTTCTTCTGGAAGTGGGAGGAAACAGAGACTACCCCCACTCCCCCAGGGGCTACTGAAGGAGGGGAAGAAAATTATGGATGTGAGCTGTCCCTGCTCATAGGCATGTGCCCAGAGACCTGATGGGGCACTTTCTGGGCCATGGACATTGCTTTGAAGATGAACAGGCTGAACAGCATTTGTGGATGCTGAGACCCCGCCCTGGGGGCCAAGAAACTGAACTGTATAACAGGCACTGAGTTGCTAGTACATTCTTGGACATTCTAGTGAGTATCCTGTCCAGACCCTCTCCTTCCATCTTTCTCTGCTACCCAGCCCAGACATGGCACTGAAAGGCCGAGCTCTCTATGACTTCCGCAGTGAGAACAAGGAGGAAATCAGCATCCAGCAGGATGAGGACCTAGTCATCTTTAGTGAGACTTCACTGGATGGCTGGTTGCAAGGCCAGAATAGCCGTGGTGAGACAGGACTCTTTCCTGCCTCTTATGTGGAGATCATCCGTTCTGGCATTAGCACCAACCATGCTGACTACTCCAGCAGCCCTGCAGGCTCCCTGGGCACACAGGTGAGCTTGTACAACAGTCCCAGTGTGGCCAGCCCAGTGAGGAGTGGTGGGGGCAGTGGTTTCTTCTCAAACCAAGGCAGCTTTGAGGAGGATGATGATGATGACTGGGATGACTGGGATGATGGATGCACAGTGGTGGAGGAGCCACGGGCTGGTGGGCTGGGCACCAATGGGCACCCCCCCCTCAACCTCTCCTACCCTGGTGCCTACCCCAGCCAGCACATGGCCTTCCGGCCCAAGCCACCCCTGGAGCGGCAGGACAGCCTGGCATCTGCCAAGCGAGGCAGTGTGGTGGGTCGCAACCTCAACCGTTTCTCATGCTTTGTGCGCTCTGGAGTAGAGGCCTTTATCTTGGGTGATGTGCCCATGATGGCCAAGATCGCTGAGACATACTCCATTGAAATGGGTCCTCGTGGTCCCCAGTGGAAGGCCAACCCCCACCCATTTGCATGCTCCGTGGAGGACCCCACCAAACAGACCAAGTTTAAGGGCATCAAAAGCTACATCTCCTACAAGCTTACACCCACCCATGCTGGCTCACCAGTCTATCGCCGCTATAAACACTTTGACTGGCTCTATAACCGCCTCCTACACAAATTCACTGTCATTTCGGTGCCCCACCTGCCTGAGAAGCAGGCCACAGGCCGCTTTGAGGAGGACTTCATTGAGAAGCGGAAGAGGAGGCTTATCCTCTGGATGGACCACATGACTAGCCACCCTGTGCTATCCCAGTATGAAGGCTTCCAGCATTTCCTCAGCTGCCTGGATGACAAGCAGTGGAAGATGGGCAAACGCCGGGCAGAGAAGGATGAAATGGTGGGTGCCAGCTTCCTGCTCACCTTCCAGATCCCCACAGAGCACCAGGACCTGCAGGATGTGGAGGACCGTGTGGACACCTTCAAGGCCTTCAGCAAGAAGATGGATGACAGTGTCCTGCAGCTTAGCACTGTGGCATCAGAGCTGGTGCGTAAACATGTGGGGGGCTTCCGCAAAGAATTCCAGAAGCTTGGCAGTGCCTTCCAGGCCATCAGTCATGCCTTCCAGATGGACCCCCCCTTTAGCTCTGAGGCCCTCAACAGTGCCATTTCTCACACGGGCCGTACCTATGAAGCCATCGGGGAGATGTTTGCTGAGCAGCCCAAGAACGACCTCTTCCAGATGCTCGACATGCTGTCCCTCTACCAGGGCCTGCTCTCCAATTTCCCCGACATCATCCACCTACAGAAAGGTAAGACTTGGTGCCCATTGGATGCATCTGGCTATCTGCTGGGTGCTGGAGACAGGGGGACAGCTGTGGAGCAGCTCATTTTGTCTGACAAGTGTGTTGAGTATCAGTTGTGTGGAAGGTGCAATTCTAGTTACAGAGATATTATGTGGGCAATAAGGTTGTCCCTGACTTCATGAAGCCTGGTGTTTGTTTACCTTCTTGTCAGCTCTTTCATTTTCTCCCTTTCTGTCTTGTTTACACACCATGTGTGAAGTGCATGCAAGATATCAGGCTGGGGTCTGGGAACACAGAGATGACCAGGTCCCAGGCTTTGCTTTTGAGGAGCCCAGAGGCTAGTGTGGGACTCAGACCCAGACCCAGATAACAAAAGCACAGAGTGTGGGCCAATCTTCCCCTCTGCACAATCTTGCCTCCTGACCTTTGAAGTTTCAGAGCCTGCTCTCAAGGGTTGTGTACCCTATCTGTGAGCTCCCTATCTGTGTGCGGGAGGATCTCTGTCCCTGTTTGCAGATGAAGGAGCTAGTGTCCATAGAAGGGCAGTTGCACAATGAGTCCATGGCTAGGATGGGACTGCCCCGTCCTCCTGCTACCTCCCTAGGAACATGTCCCTGTTGGCCGACTTCCAAGCCTAGCCGTGTGTTTTCAGTTCTTATGGCCTCCTCTGTGGGGGAGGGACAGGATAGGCCCCTGCCTGTTACTGCTGGGGCTGTCAAGGAACTACCAGGGAAATGACTCATCCCAGGTCACCCAGGGGCGCCAGGCTAGGCCAGAGGAGTGGAACCAAGGGTCCAGGGCACTATCCACATGGCTCATCTAAATCCTGCTTCCTGAGCGTGGCTCCTTATCTTGCCTGAGAAGTGTGTCAGGGGCTGACCTGGCAGGTAGCTGAGTCCTGGGGACTACAAGGAGGGCAGATGTCAGGACAGAGGTGTGGTCCTCCCTGGGGCTGCTTGGCAACTCTGGAAGAACTTCTGCAGGGCGTGGGACTGGCTCCCTGGTCCTTAGGCCCTGAGGTCAGGCCTGGCTTCATGGGGAGTTTTACTCTGGGTGGAGCCAGGAGGTAGACCTCTGGATTGAGCCTTGAGGAACAGCAAACATGCCCCCTACCACCCAGGAGAGTCTGAGGCTAGCTGGCCCTGTTCTCCTTTACCTTCTTTAGAGGTTGACTTCTAGAACTTCCAGCTCCCATCCTTCTTTTTGTCTTTACTTTCTCCACATTTTCCTCTCTTTTTTTGCCCCCACCTCCCTTTTCCCCTCATCTCCACCTTTGTTCTTCCTTTCAGTTCTAGGAGACAAACCTGAGCTCTCATCTTGGCTCTGTCCCCAATTTGCTGTGTGCCCCTGGGAAGTACCTTTCCCTTTCTGGACTGTAGTTTCCTAATCTATAAAACAAGGAGAGGGGGGCATCCCAGTGAGTCCTCAGACTTTCAAAGGACAGGGTAGGAAGGGATCCCAGGGGAGGTTCTGGCCCAGAAGCAAAATGATGCCTCAGACCTGGCTCTGAGCTCTGGGCAGGAGTTGGGGGGGCATGGGGACAGGTGTCTCCCTGTGCAGAAGTGGGAAAGCTGGTTCAACCAGCTCCTCAGTGGCTCAGTCCTGCGTGGGCAGCCAGAGGCTGGAACACAGTGCTTAAACAGCTGCCCCCATATAGGGGCTGGGAATCCACAGCCAGAGCAGAGCTGAGGCAGGAAGGCAATCCGATATCCAGGGCACCCAGGACTCCCAGGCTCAGGCTGGCCTTCCTGATCCTGGGGAAGAGACACAGCTGTGGGAGACCATTTCTGGGTTTCCACTTAAGGTGTTTCTAAGAGTCAGGGGCCACTGTCCTCTGTGGTGATGCCTTTAGCCTGAAGCACAGGCTGCCCACCTGCCCTCACCTGGTGTTTCCTTCCCTAGCGGGCCAAGCCATCTTCGGTTTCCTCTAGGTTCTGGGCTCTGCACACCTAGGCCTGTGGTGTGGGGCAAGGTAGGGAGGGGGTCTGGGAATCTGGCTGAGACAGAACTGGGCAGGCTTTGGGGACCACAGCCCAACAGGAGGTTGCAGGGAGGGGGCCCAAGCTGGCCTTACGAGTGGAACCCTTTTCAAAGGAAGTAGCAGGACAGTCAGATCCTGGATCCCCTGGATTCTGTCTCTTCTGTCTGGACATCTGAATGGACAGCAGGTGTATGTGGGAGAAAGAGAGTGGAGACCTGTGTGGGGAGTTGGGAGACCAGGATTTGAACAGAATTTGCCTCTGAGGTGACCTTGGGAGAGTCTCTTTCTTTCTTTCTTTTTTTTTTTTTTTTTTGAGACAGAACCTCAAGCTGTCCCCCTGGGT